AAATAATCAGAAGGTTCTAAACATGTAGGGACCAAACAGTATCACACACAAAAAAAAATGAAATTGATAACAGAAAATTACTCTTTATTGATGTCAGAGTCATTCCTGAATCAACTGTTTCGGACCAGACCACCAACTTGTTAGAGTAAAGATCGAAATAATATAAAGAAAGAAGAAGGAATAAAAATGAAAATAATTTATGGCCTATGATTAAAAAACTTTAAATAAGTTGTTGATGTTACAAAAAATGAGATCTAGATGGAGAAAAGGACATCAACATCAATTACAATAATATCATACAAATGGTTGATCAATGTACATCAATTGCCATAAACACAACACCAAAAGAGCCTAAAAATTGACTCGGCAGACATTTAAGAGATATGACAGCCATAAGTAATATCAATTTAAAATATATGGTATACACATATATATGTATACATACATACATATGTGTATACATAGAAAATGGACAATGAGTTGGGCCCAGAATTAAACAGGAGAGAATTAAACATATCTCCCTGACAAAAGGCTCAAGTTTTTAATGCCAGAATTATTCCAATGTCATTTTTCAGGCTGCAAGTTAGAACACTACAATCTCTGAAGTATTAAAAATAATTTAGAATTAAAAATGAAGATTACCCAGAGGGCAGTGGATAGGTACAATGCAGCAATGCATTACAAACAAGACATTACAAAAGGGAAGCAAAGGAAAGGATATCATAAGAGAAATGTATGAAGAAAAAAGAAATTGGGCTGGTCACATGGAGAAAGCTAGGGATGACCAATGGAAAGTATGTCTGCTCCACTGGTTTCCTCACAGTATTGACAGAAAGTAGGGAAGGCTCCCCTAATACATGGGAAGTGGTAGACTAGAGTCACGCAAGATGGAAGCACATGGATGTGGGAAGTGGTAGACCAGAGTCACATAAGATGGACACATGTGGAATGGATTGTGAATTGCATTATTGGAAGGAAAAACCCACATCAGTAAAATCACAGATCCATTCTGAATGCTTGAGGATTTTTCCAATAATACTATATGGCCAGGAATTGTGGAATACCACAATTGCTGAGGAATCAAAATTTTGAGTCATCTACAAGGAAATTAGTAACACATGGTAGACAAAAATGAGCAGCAGCATTTTACCAATAATAAATTAAATGGAAAAAAACTATAGACAAAAATACATTGAAGCGGCATATGTCTGAAAAGGAGTTGGTCATGTAGCAAGAATGAGGGATAGCAGATGGAAAATGAATAGATAGTTCATTAGTACCCATGTAATGGCAAGAGACATGTTGCATGGACATTATTGGGGAGATTAGGAGAGGCCACAGACAAGAATAACACAAGATGAGGAGTATACAGGCTGTGATTTGCACTGTTAGAGTATCCGTATTCCTTCTCCTCTGTTCCTTTGTACAGACTGCCCCCTATGCCTGAAATTCACTCTCCTTACAGAATCTCTAGCTTTATTCTAAGCTCAAGTCAAATGCCAGCCCCAAAAGGAAGCCTATTCCAATTCCCCAAGTTGTTACTCCCCTCCCATCATGGATTGTTTGGTATCTATTTTGTATATTTTTTTTGCATTTGATTAATTTTCTTCATTATCATAAGCTGGTTTGTTGCTCCATACTATCTTCCCTTGAAACTAGATGGCTCAATAGAAAGAGAGTCAGGAAGACCTAAATTGAAACATAGCCTCAAAGACCTACTAACTGTATGACCCTGAACAAATCACTTAACTATCTGCCTGTTTCTTCTGTAAAATGAGTTGTTGTGAGCATTAGCACGGATATTTGTAAAGTGCCAGGCATATAGTCAGTGCTTAATAAATACTAATCCTTTTCCTCTTCCCTCCAAAGTCAATTTACCACTAACAATTCATGACACCAAAATGTCACACCAAGACAACTTTTTCTTCTGTTTTGAGAAGTTCTGTACTTTCTGCCTTCAGCATATCTGAAGAGTAGCTTGGATTTAAGACTCTTCACCTCTTGTTGGCAATGGGGAAACAATCAAAACAATGCAGTGAATCTCTATCAAGTATCTGCTATGTGTATGGCACATGTGTATAAGGCCTTGGACATTTTTCCCCAACCCCACCCCTGGCCAGGGCAGAGGTTGAATCCCACCAAGATCAAATACCGAACAAGTTCCAAGGAGCTGATGAAATCCTCCTTACATAAGGGCTCAGAGAAGAGGATTGCAAATGGGAAATATTTCCTAGCCACTTAGAACCAATATTAAGAAAAAAGGTGACTTGAAGATTTTTAGAACAGCATTATTTGAAAAAGGAAAAGGCTAAAGGCAACCTAAATAAATATCAAAAAAAAGAAGATTGGTTAAATAAATTGTGGAATATTCATATAATAGAATACTATAATTGAAGTAACACCAATAAGTATGCAGAATATAAAAAAAAAAACAGAAAGACCTTTACACTGTAATGAGAAGTTAAAAAAAAAAAACATAATTCCCACCAAGATCACATAAATGGGAAATTAATGGGAATCAATTGACAAAGAAAGAATACAAGCTTAGAGAAAAGTTATGCCATTGTATGCACTGAAGCTAATTTGTTTAGTTGTTTTCAGTGGCATCAGATCTTCATTACCCAATTTGCGATTTTCTTGGCAGAGATACTGGAGTGGTTTGCCATTTCCTTCTCCAGAACATTTTACAGATGAGGAAGCTGAGGCAAACAGGGTTAAGTGACTTGTTATAAAGCATATTGTTTTGATGCTTAATGTTAAGTTTATAAGTTTTTTTGGTGACTTTGTTTTAAAGACCAGGGAGACAAGGAGAGAGGCAGATTGGTAAAGGGGGAAAAGCACTGGCTTTGGGTCAGAGGCCTGGTTCAGATTCTCTGCCTTTAATGCTAATTACTTGTGCAACCTCCTAGGGCCTCAGTTTCCTCATCTATCAAATGAAATAGCTGAACTCCTAGCTCCTAATGTCCCTTTCAGTTTTCATGCCAGTTGAGAGGGCCACAGGTGGGAGAGGATGTCTGAAGTCAAACTAGGATTAGAATCAGAAATTACAACAAAGTTTGAGAAGGGATTAGGGAGATTTAAGATCCAGGGCTCAGGCAGCAGCAACCAAGTGCTGAGTAAATAGTAGAAAATTGAGCTAGAGAAAAATGTTATCTCCGTTTTCCTCTCACAGTTGCTTTTCAGGCAGGCTCTCTGTGGCTGCTCCCCGCCACCCCTCTGCCCCCAGTGCCTTCTCAAGTCCCTTCACCTGGTAAATCCACCTCCACTGAGCTCATTGTTCTCCCTAACAACCAGCAGCCCTAATGCATTACAGTTTCTCTCAAAAAAAAAAAAAGGAAAAGAAAAGTTATTTCTTCTTCATGGTGGAATAGGATAGAAAGAAAACCTTTCCATAATAAAAATTGCTGTTTGTTGTAGAGGAATACTTCCTCGATAAAAAGACTTTTCCCCCTTCGGGTTTTTGAGGTAACCTCTTACTATTGCTCTGATAAAAACTTAAGTCACATCACTTTTGTGAGAAAAGAATGGTCTGGAGAGAGGGAATAGACTAATTGTCTACTCTCAGTATTTGTTGTCTATAATCAACTGCAAATTGCTTCTGAAAGAAAGCTATTTGGAGGGCCTACTCTGAGCCAGCAAAACTTTTCCAAGTGTTAGGAGTGGGGGGAGGGAGGAAGGCAGTGACAGGAAGAAGGGGATAAAGGATGTTGTTGGCTCCAATTGGAAAGACTGTAAGATCTTCCACTGACCTAGCTCTAACTTGAGCTCCAGGGGGAAAAAATAAGAATTGCTATTTCCTTCAATATTTCTTAATAACTACAGTTTGGGGTGGGGGAGGAGATTAGAGAGAAGAAAAGGGAAAAAAGGAAAGAGGAGAGACATTATGAAGAAAAAAATGGTCTCATTTTGCTCAAGAATTAGCATGCTTTTAAAAATTGGCAAAATAAAATCAAATTTTGCTCTATAAATTGTGCTAGTCTTTCTAACATGTTATCCCATACTTCTCAGAAAGACTTACCCACTCCCACACTGTCACACAAACTGTCACACATCCTTTACACAAACTGTACTCAGTTCCTGGAATGCCCCCTCTCTGCACCTCAGCCTCTTGGAGCCCCTAGCTGTCTTCAACACTTAGCTCAAGCGTGACTGACTACACCAGGTCCTTCTGGATCCCTCTAGTTCTTAGCATTCCACCCTTTCCATCCAAATTACTTTGTATCCATTTTGTATTTATATATCTATGCACATTTCATCTCCTCTGTCTCTCCCCCCCTTCCCCTACCATGATTTAAGTTTCTAGCATTCAAAACCCTTCATAACTTGACCTCCTCCTTCATTTTAGGTCTTCTTACATCTTACTCCCCTCCCCCTACACACACACAACTTTCTTCATGATACAGTGACACTGTACTCCTTGCATTTCTAGAAAAAGAGAGTCCATCTGTCCATGTATTTTCACTGGCTGTCCCCCTGCCTGGAATTCTCTCCCTCCTCATCTCTATCCCCTGGCTCACCTGGTTTCCTTCAAGTCCCTGCCAAAATCACACTTTCTGCAAGAAGCCTTTCCAGATTCCCCTAAACGCTCAAATCTTCCCTTCTTGATTATCCCCAATTTAGTCCATATCTAACTTGTTTGTACTTGGTTGCTTGCATGCTTTCTCCCCATTAGACTGTGACCTTGTTAAGAGCTGGGTCTGTCTTTTGCCTCATTTGTTTTATTTTTCTCTCTGGATCCCAGTACCTAGCACTGCGCTTAGGTGCTTAATGCATAATAGATTTAAAGCTGGAAAGGATTTTAGAAGCCATCATGTACAGTCCCCTCATTTTACATATGAGGAAACTGAGGATGAGAGAGGTTAAGTGACTTGTCCAGGGTCATAAGATCAGTGAATTTTTGAGTCAGATTTTAACTAAGATCTTCCTGATTCCAAATCCTACACTCCATCCACTGAACCACCTTGCTGCCTCTAGGCATTGAAATCTGCTTATATTTACAGGTGTTTTATAGGCAAGAAGGCCACAGCAACAGTCAGGTCATTGAAACACAGAAAACTCAAGCTGTGGTCCTTCTCCCTGATGTTGGGGTTTATATCATTGAAGTTCGAGCATTCAGTGAAGGAGGTGATGGAACAGCTAGCTCCCAAATCAGAGTACCGTCATATTCAGGTAAGTACTGTTACAGTCAGTTCAACTCTGTTGACTCCCAGAGCACAGTCATCCATCTTTCTAAGCTAACACATTCTCAAGTAAGCTGTTTATGTTTCCGCTTCTTTGTTTACATCCATGCAAACCTTGTTAGGGTTAGCCTGGGTATATGCTCCTGGCTATAGCTGCCAATAATACTATTAATATAAAACTGACAATGTTTAGCCTGGAAAATAGATTTTAAAAAATATAGTTGCCTCCAAATATTCGAAAGGCTGTCATGTGAAAGAGTGATTAGAGCTATTTGGTGTAGCTCCAAAGAGCATTAACTAGAACCAACGTATAGAAATTACAGGAAGTCCAGTGTTGACTTAATATCATTCAGTTCAATTCAACAAACATTTATTAATCACCTACTATGTTCCATACAAATTTAATTCAAGGCACTCTGCTAGATATTGTGGATAGGAAAACAAGAACCAAACATTTCCTTCTTTGAATGACTAACATTCTAGGCTAGAGGGAGCAGGTTAGAGTGGGGATTATGATACATGCACAGATATATGAGTACCAAGTATATACAAAATAATTGAAATTTAATTCCAAAGGGAGAGAGAACTAACTGAGGATAGGAGACAGATGAGGAGAGGCCTAATAGAAGGTGGCACCTAATCTATGTGCTTTGCAGGAAGCTAGGGATTCTAAGAGATCAAGGTAAGAAGGCTCTGAATTCCAGAGATGGAGATGAAAAAAACAAAACAAAACATGGAGGCCAGAAATGGAATGTTGTGTCAGTCAACTAGCATTTATTAAGTGCCTTCCAGCGCCTTCTCTTAAGAATGTACAGGGAAACAGCATTGTAGGCCATGGAAAGGAGAGTTGATTAGTAAAAGAAAATAATATGAAATAAGGTTAGAGAGATAGGTGGGATTCAGATTGTGGGGGCTTTAACTGCTAAGCCAGACTTCCTAAGAAATAACTTCCAAATGATTAGAGCTGCTCAAAAATCAGATCATAGGTCTATTTTAAGGCTAGAAGGGTCCTTAGAGGTCAGCAAATCCAATCCCCATGAAGAAACAGAAACATAGAGTGGTTAGGTGACTTTCCCAATGTGACCTAGCTAGTAAATGTCTGAGGCATTCTTTTGTTTTGTTTTTTTGGTGAGGCAATTGGGTTTAAGTGACTTGCCCAAGGTCACACAGCTAGTAAGTGTCAAGTGTCTGAAGTCATATTTGAACTCAGGTCCTCCTGACTCCAAGGCTGGAGCTCTATCCACTGTACCACCTAGTTGCCCCTGAGGCATTCTTTTAAATCAGTGCTAGGCTGTTTGGGGATACCTTATACGAGAGTGAGTTTACCAGTGCTAGAAATGTTCAAGCATCCCTAACAGGTATGTTTCAAGGGAAGTACCTGCATTAAGTGGGCTAGCCACTTTCAACATCCTTTCCTACTCCTACATTCTACAGTTCTGGGATTCTAAGGAATATTTGAAAAAGTCCCATAGCTAATACTTTTCTTATATTTTAAAAGGCATAGAATACCTGTCTTAGAGAACACAATTTCTGTCAACACAATAATCACCACCACTAACTATAATATTAGTTTATGCCCTCAAGATAATTTTAGTCCTTTAGCTTAGGCCATCAGCATGCCCCAAACACTCTGAGTCATACCCTCTTAGCAGACTGTGCTGGCCCATTTACTGAGCATTCTACTGCATAGTTACATAGGGCAAATGATTAAAATCTTCCTCTGTTATAAGAATGAAGTGATACATACACTTTTCTCTTCTGGAATCTTTCCAATTTTTTTCTCAAAGATGTGGACTCCCATAATATCTTAGATCAGCTAGAAGCATGAAATTTTAGAGCTGGATGGGACCTTAGAGATGTGATAGTGTAATTGCCTCATTTAACGGATGTTAAGTGATTTGACAAGACAGTTAGTAGCAGAACTGAGACTAGAACCCAGATTTCCTGGAAAGCGTTAGTGGCTCCCTATTGCCTCTAAAATAAAATACCAACTGTTCTGATCATCTTTTTCAGCCCTTCACAGTCTGACTGGTCTCCCTTTCCATGTGTATTTCACTTTGCCCCTCTTCAGGTATTCTCAGTTCCAGCCAATTGGCCTAGGTATTCTTCCCACCACACAAAATTCAATTTCTCACCTAGGTACTTTTGCACAGGCTGTCCAGCATGCCTAAAATATGGCCTACTCTCACCTTTGCTTCTTGGAATTTTTACCTTTCCTCAAGATTCATCTCAGGTCCCGTACCCCTTCTGTACAAAGACTGTCCTGCTCCCTCTAGGGGTTAGTGCCTCCTTGCTCCCCAAATTATGTTGTATTTACTTAGGTATTTAAATGTTGTTTCACCAATAGAATATAAACTCCTAAAGTGATTTTTCATTCTATCTTTGTATGCCTTATGCATAACACAACACTTTGCATGGTTTTTTGGATTGTTTGTTTAGAGAAGACCTGTGATTTATTTCATCCTTGTAGGGAAGCCACAATATCAAATAGCCTCTAGAAAGGCACATATACACATTCTCTACAATTTATAATCATGGAGACACTATGGGACTAATAGAGATCACTTGGGACACTGAGAGGTCAGCTGATTTGTACAGCCTACCTATGTCAGAGATGTGACTTGGACCTGGGTCTTCCTGACTCCCAGGCCAGCTCTTTATCCACATGCATCATTGCTTCTCAGTGCCTTTCATAGAGTAGGCACTTAATCTAGACACTGGATCTTTGACTTTGTCTCTTCTCTGTCCTCTATCTATTCACATACACATATAAGAGGGGGAGGGGTTGTATACACATATGTCTATATAAATTGTGTATATATACATATAATGTATGTATGTACACTTATGCATGTATGTGTATATACATATATGTATGTTATATACATATGTATATGTAGGTATATGTGTGTATATGTAAGCATACTCACTTCTTGAAATTCAGAGAAATAGAGAAAAATATTTTTTTTAATTATTGCATGAAATGATCTATTAAGGGCCCTCACCAGCACCAAATATAGGAGATGACTATTTCACATTTCTTATTTATTAAGCCTGTGAGAAAAAAAAAACACTTTTATGAGGCTTTGCTTTCTTGATTTTCTTTTCACACAGTTAGCCAAACTCTTCACAACATCACTATCTTTGTACCAATTGAAACAAATATAACATTTCTTTGCTATTTTGATTAATAATATTTCAAATAAAAGAAGCTTCCCAGATTTCCTGTTTCTTGCTCAAGTTAAATAAAAGGAAGGATTGCATCTAAAAATAAACCAAAACTATGTGAGTACAATTAAAGTCTTAACCAAATCCTGAACTGGCCTGTTAGCTTACCTGCTGTTAGAGGAAGAGTCCATAAATCAGATCTGAGAGCTTAGACTGTTTTTAACTAGGGCCAGTGACTACCCCAGAAGGTATGTAGATTGAAAAACATTCCTGAATTTAGTGACTCACAGTGGAATGGAGGGGGAGATAGGTCATGTCTGTTCAGGTTAACAATTCAAATATTTTGAACTGATTGGTCAGTTCAACCCATAGTATAGCCCCATGCAGTTGAGATCTTGTTAAAAAAACAAAACAAAACAAAACAACAACTTTTCCTAAAGGAGTAGATTCCCTTTTGCAAAATTTGATTTGGAGACCCAGCATTTAAACTGATTGCATTGGAAAATTCGATTCCTTCAAGTATCTATGTAACCATTCACCCACAAACTGATTGCTTGACTGAACTGAATAAATTATCTGGTTATTTTGACAACCCTTTTTTGTATTAACTCCTGAACACTGAATTTTCATAATGACATTTTTTAACTGAAGTGGGGATTTTTTAATAATATTTTCCCCAATTACATGTAAAAACAATTTTTAACATTTGTTGTGTGTGTGTTTTTTTTTTAAGTTTTGAGTTCCAAATGCTATCCCTCTCCCCTCCCTCTCTCCACCTCCTTGACCTGGTAAGCAATTTGATATAGGCAACGCATGTGCAATCATGTAAAATATTTTAAAAAAAAATTTTTTTTAAGTGAGAGCCCTCTTACTCTAAATTATACTAGCCATCTTTGTTCCTTTGTAAAGGCTATCTCCTGTGCCCAGAATCCCCTCCCTCCTCACTTTCACCCCTTTGAATGCTTAGCGTCTTCTTTCAAGGCTTAGCTCAAGGTACCAGCTCCTATAGGAAGCTTTTCCTGATTCCTACTAATAATGACTTATGAGTGCTCTTTCTCTCTGTTCATACCATACTATATTTGCTTCTCTGTGTACATGTTGTATCCCTTAGTAGACTGTAAGCTCTTTAACAACAGACTGGGATTTTTTTGGGGGGTGTCTTTTTATTCCCAGTGTCTTGCACAGTGTATTACACATATTAAGTGATCAATAAATGCTTTTTGATGTAATTGAATTGATATTTCCAAATTATTCAAATCTTTTTAATAAATCAGGTCTCAGTGGCCTCCGAAACATTCTTTTTCAAGTATTTCTGCCCAGGTATAGCTTTGTCCCTATCTTTTTTTTTTCTTCTCTTATATATCTTGTATGTATTAGAATGTGAGCTCCTTAAGGGCAGGAACTGCTTTTGCCTTCCTTTGTAACCCCAGCCCTGGTACATAGTAGGTGCTAAAAAAAAATGCTTGTTGACTGACAAACATGGAATTTCCCATCACAAACGTTATCAGAGCTGGAGTTGCACTCACTGAGTTTACCGAATTAAAAACACTTTGCTCCCCACAAACATAGCCATAACCTATTCTAGTGATGCCTCTTTGTTTCTACAGGTGGGAAAATCACAAGTGCTCAATCTTCTCTCCACACCTCAACTTTTTCATCGTCAGTAACATTGCTCCTGGCACTGATAGTCCCTTCAACCTCATGGTGAAGATTGCAGACTTAATGTTTTTGCTTTGCTTTAGCTTGATCACATCTGTGGATGGAGCTTTATGTGAGCAGAGAAACTGGAACCCTGAGCTAAGCTTAAAAACCCTAGAACTACCCATGGTGCACTTAGAGGAGTGTTGGGGGGGGGAAATGTTACTTATTCATCAGGTTTTCTCTTCGGTTTTTGTAAATGTCCTCAAATAGGGGAGGACAGTTCTTGGCCCAATAAAAATATGCAGATTGTATGTAATGAACTTTTGTAAGCAAAGGTAATTTCTGTCAAATGTATTCTTTACTTTTTTAATAGGTTTGAATTTGATTTTGTATCTGATGACCCTGAGTATGTGCCATTTGTTTGTTAAAGCAGTGGTGTCTAGTACATCTGTTTCAAAAAAAAAAAGAAGAAAAAAAAAGAAAAAAGTGAGGGTGAATGGTAAAGACTCTGAATCTAGTATTCCTCATTTTCCCTAAGGCTGGCTGTTGCAATCGACAAACCAGTGGGAGAGAAGAAAAATAGTTCAGTTATGTTGCCCATTACAGGATAAGTACAGGAAATATTTTCTGGAAAAGTATATGATTGCATATTGAAATAGTCAAATTTGTCAATCTGCTGTTCTGCAAGCATTCCCAGAGCAAGCTCTTAGAGCAGAGCTGGGCCTTGACATTCGTGCAAGGTAAAATGAAGGGGGACTAGGAAGGGATTGTTTTCAGTGCTATTGTCTTTCATCAAGTACTGTATTATTTAACTGAAAAAGAAGTCAAAGTTTATTTTCAATAGCAAAAATATAATTTAACTTCACAGAAGATGCACATGCTAACATCTATGGACACTGATATGTACTATAGATTCTAACTGGAAAAAAAATTAAATGAATAAATACAGCATAATCTTTTTTTCCATCTAATTACCTCCACTTTTTTTGTTTATTTGTGTTTTTCCCATGACAATCCTTCTCTGGACAGCTAAAATTTATCATGCAAATACAGAAGCTTATATGTTTTATATGGAAGAAAATAATTTGAATATACCAACTCTACGTAGATTATTTTTGGACAAACCTGTGCTCTACATAGCACTTTCCAAGGCCTACCAATGATTCAAAGCAGCAAGATTTCTTGGGTTGTTTCTTAGAGTTCACCCACTTTTTTTCCCAAACACTTTTTCCAAACCATTGTCATCATCAGGAAATTCAACAACTTCAGTCAACCACATATTTTTTATTCTCTGCTGATGAAAGGGGTAGCAATTCACATTTGAAAACTCACCTTTTTTGACATTTCAGACATAATGAAAAATGTTCTTTAGTAAACAATAGGACCACAGAATCATAGAATTTGAGAGTTAGAAGGGACCTCAGCAGCCATTTCATCCACAAGAAGACTGGATGAAAATATACTCTTTGGTTAGGGAATATGGTGGATTGGTCCCACTCACATGGAGACTTCTCTGGGTTGAGATTACAACCACAGCAAGAAGAGAAAGTGAGTCTCAATAAATATGCCAGAACAGGCCTGGCCTAGCTACTGTTTTATAGCTGATGGGGATTTGAGGCCTCCAAGATGGTTTGGGGTATTTTTGCTCGTATAAATATACCCATTCATTTTATATCTTTAAACAAATAACAAGGAAGCAGAAAAGGGTTCTTTCTCTACTGAGCAACACCAGATAAGAGATCAATAAGGAATCAGAAAAGGGGATGGGGACAGGAAGAGGATTTGTGTTCTCAAACCTCCTGCACATTTTTCCCCCAGAAAAAAATAGCCTAACTTCTTTGTGTCAGATACTCATTATTATGTTTTTTGGTTTGGCTTGGTTTGGTTTTTTGGAGGTTGTTTTCAAGCCAATCCCAACCAAGCAAATAGTCGTTTTAAAAAAATATACATGTTAATCACCAGATTGTTGTGGATGAAAGACAGATGGCAAGCTTCATTTTGAGGATCTCTGTGATCAGAGGGTAAAAAGGCTTCCTTGGAGGCCTCCTTCTGGAAAGGTTCATGCTCAATTAAGGTGGAAAGGAGGACAGGGCAGGGAGATGCATGTAATAACAATCAGTTTCAATGCTATTTCTTGATGAAGCAAATGAAAAAAAAAAGCCACTCTCTTTTTGACTGGCAGACCAGGCATTTTTCCATTGTATGAGGTAGCTTGCCAGAGCAAATTATGTTTAAAAAACACATACATACACACCATGCACATGGCAAGAACATACTGATTAAAAAGAGGGCAATAATAATCTTTACCTTAGTATCAGCTGAATTGAACTCTTTTTCTTTATTTCCCATAGAATTATTTGCCAGTCTTGCCCAATCAGACACATTCATGGTCAAGTTGTTACCAATGAACATTCTAATAAAACATCATGTTCACAAAAATCAAATTGAATTTTACATCCATTAATCCAATATAGGGGGCATATGCGATAGATCGTATTTACACATGGAACTAAGTTTCTGATGATGTCCTATTCTTGCAGGGAGCAGTGATTAGATGTTTTTATTCAACATGAACAGAATACGTATTTTGCATTTACAACCTATGAATAAAACATGTTTTAAATGTTTATGGACTTATGTATTACGTTTATTACTTTGTAGAAAACAGGACAATGGTCCCTATCTCCCTACATTATTTTCCAGCTTCAGTACAGAGCTTTTTCCTGGATGAGATTGTAACAGTGCAGTCTTATGTCACTAAGAGACTGTATTTTTGTATAATGTCATATGAGCTATTGAGAAACTACTCATAGTTAATTGAAACTCTGTGAAAGCAAGTGTTTGCATACCAAAATGAAGGTACTATAGAGCCCCATTTCAATCTGTTAGATATATTGTATACAATCTGTATATATATATACTATATATAATGGTATATACTACGTGGAAGGCACAGTCAAATTATAGTTCTGTGTACTGTTCTTGTAACATTAGATCTTTTTAATAAATAATTCTCTTTTTATTGACTTTTATCTTCTCTCCTGTCAACTACCTTAAGAGTGTTATTTATTTCCTAAAGACTGCAGCATACACATTGGTGATAAACACATTTTTTGTGATATTTTCACAAAGAAAATGCTAGTGGTGGATGGAGAGGCCCTGACTCATACAAGAATCTTCACATCATTATCATTTTTTAACTCATTGGTCCACTTGATAGTTTCATCATGTTGACTCAACTCCCATATTCGAATCATGCAGGGGAAAAAAAAACAAACAGATCAAGCAGCACAGCAAATTTATAAGCCAGTAGAATCAACATCTCAATGAGGCTGCTAGGTGGCACAGTGGAGAGAGCACTGGGCCTAGAACTGAGTTCAAATATAGCCTCAGATCCTTACCAGCTGTGTGATGCTGGGCAAATCCCTTAACCTCTGTTTGTTTTCTCAACTGTAAAACAGGGATAGTAATAGTACTTAAGTGCCAAGGTTATTATGAAAATCAAATGAGATAATATTTGTAAAGCACTTAGCACAGTGCCTGGCACATATATAAATGTGTATGCCTTTCCCTTCCTTTCCCAATGAAGGAACTTGTAGCTCAGCTTTCTCCTCATCTCATAAAAGTAGACATAACAGCAATAACTAATGTTTACATAGCCCTTTGAGGTTTGCAAAGAACTTTGTATGTGTTGTCTCATTGGATACCCACAATAACTCTTTGAAATGGGCGCTATTTTCATCCCCATTTTACAGTTGAGGAAACTGAGGCTGAGAAAGGTAAAGTCCAGGGACATACAGGTAGTATCTGAGACAGAATTCAAATTCAGGTCTTCCTGATTTCATTAGGACATAATGAGGAAGCACTGGCTCTGAAGTCAGAGAATCTAGGTTCAAATCTTGACTCTGCATCTTACTATCTGTATAACCTTGGGCAAGTCACTTTACCTCTCTAAGACTCATTTTCCTCAACTAAAATGAGGGAATTGGACTGAATGATTTTTAAGATACCAAAATCACAAATTATTCCAATGGGAAGGAATGTTAGACATCATTTAGTCTAAACTATATCTGAAGAGCTGTCTCTTCCAACTTCAGCACATATGAGCATGTGTGGCCATAGTGTTCAGCAGAAATAATCCCCCAAGGACTGCCCCAAGCACAATGAGCTATTAATGTTCTTTAGATCACTACAGCCTCCACAAAAGTCCTACTCCACACTGCCACAGTGTGGAGATGGCCTGGGCTTCTCTTAAGTCTATATCAAAGGAGCACATGCTTTGGTGAGCCTGTTGGCTTACTACATATCTGTTATTAAAGAGCCAGGCTATTCACTTCTGAAGAAACTTACCATTGGGGAGTTGGATGCCAGGTGCTGACTTTTTTGGGTCCTAACAATTCATGAAGACTATTTATAGAGGCATGAAGAGTATGTGATTGGCATTAGCAGATGTTCCCATACCAGGGGTAGGTAACTTGTGGCCTCAAGGCCACATGTGGTGTAGGTCCTCAAGTGCGACCCTTTGACTGAATCCAAACTTCACAGAACAAATCCCCTTAATAAAAGGATTTGTTCTGTAAAACTTGGACTCAGTCAAAAGGATGCACCCAAAGACCTAGAAAGTCACATGTGGCCTCGAAGCCGTCGCTGTCCCACCTCTGTCCCACACTGATGAAATCGTGGATCCTTGAAGTAAAGAAATAAATATCTATCTTTTTGGTGCCCCAAATCAAACTGTAAAATATGCCTAAAACCTATTAAACAGATAAACATAGCAACATTCCTATGTCTTTTATCTATTCATACACAAATTAATGACACCAGATAAAATACAATAGGGGCGAAAGAGAGTTATACAAAAGTCTCTGAGAAATTTGAGGAGGGAGAGATCACTTTCAACTGCAAGATCCAGGAAGACTTCATAAAGGGGGTGGTACCTAAACTGGGCCTTGAAAAAAAGTGGCAACCACACACCTCCTGACAAGAGATGATAAAAAAGAGACATACATTTTGAGGACATGGCTAATGTGGGTATTTGTTTTACTAGACTATGTAGATATGTATTGA